GAAGGAGGTAGCGTATGGCCGCGTCACACACGGGTTCACCGCGTTGTTCTCGCGCCCAATCAGAATGAGAAAAACTCTCAACTGATTCACGAAAATCGAGCTCCACGTCCGAAAGCACTGGAGCATCAGCAGCCGGCGGGACATGCGTATAACCAAGCAATGGTCCAGACGCGTGCGTCGGAGATGACGGGTCCGAACGAGCTGAAGTCTCCGGAATCGGATTCAGCGGCGCCGAGGCGGCGGGCTCTACCGGGCTGGAAGCCGAAGATAGGCGAACGGGAGGCGTACGAACCACAGACGGAGGAACAGTCGGCTCGAGAGGCGCGTCTTCCGGCTGAGAAAATCCAAAATCCACAGCCGGGCGCGGAACACCTGCTGCGGCAGCAGCACGCCTGCGGGTCCTCGTCGAAATGAGGTCGGTGGGGTCCAAAGTACGCCGGGACGGAGCACCAGAGCGTGAGGAGACAGTGGTAGACGCCGCTGTTGCGTCCTCTACTGGAAAAACACCAGCAGCAGCCGAAACTGTAGCGGTGCCTGGCACAAGCATGGGCGGGCGGTTACGAATGGTTGTAGAGCCCGAGCCGCCAATAACAGTCGGAGGTAAGGCTCGAACATACCAGACACCCAAAGGAGCTCCGGAGTCAGCAACACCAGCTCGTGTCCCACGCTCAAGGAAATCAGCAAAGTCAGTTGAAGAAGGCGGTAGCCCACCCAAGGCTGAACTCGGGGCGGATGGGGCGAGCCCACCCAAGCCGACACCTACTTGGTGGCCCGAAGGCACAAAACCACAAGAGCGGATTAAGTACACCGCTTCGTCTTCGGCGGACGGAGTCAGACGACTGCGGCCAGAACGGTCACGCTCGGTCGCTTCTATCGGCAATCGAGAAAGGAAGTCGGCGTTGCCGTTTGACGAACCCTTGCGATACTCAAGAGTGTAAGAGTACGTTGTGAGGAATCCAGCCAACGTTGAACGCGGGTGGTTTCCCCCACCTTCGCAAGGTGTTCAAGCGATTTGTGGTCCGTGAAGATCTTGAAATGAGTGCCCCATAAATAACCACGAAGGCGCTTGATGCACCAAACGATACTGCCAGCTTCAAGATCCAGAGGAGTCCAATGGCGCTCAGACTCTAAAGTTGCTCGACTAACGAATACAATTGGGCGAACAGAACGATCAGGTTGCTCTTGTTTCAAAGTCCCGCCAAACCCATCTTTACTCGCGTCACAATAGAGGCGAAAAGGACGCGAACCGTCGGATATAGCATCCCAACCCGGATACACCATAACAGGGGGGCTCGCGAGTTCTGCGAGAAGTTGTCTAACGGCGGATTCCATTCAATCCGCAAACTCAAACTTCACATTCTTCTTCAGAAGAGTCGTAAGGGGGCGAACACGCTTAGCCATCTGTGGGAGAAATTTCCGGTAATAGCCGAGATCACCCAGCAAACCTCGAAGCTGCTTGGTGTCTTTGGGCATCGGCATCTTGGTGAGCGCAATAACTTTGTCACCATTTGGCCGAACACCGTCCGGAGAAATAGTGTGCCCAAGAAACTCGGCTTCTGTGGCGCCAATTGTAGCTTTCGGAGGGGTCAGTTTCAAACTGTGTGTACGCAACCTTTCAANTCTTCAGAAGAGTCGTAAGGGGGCGAACACGCTTAGCCATCTGTGGGAGAAATTTCCGGTAATAGCCGAGATCACCCAGCAAACCTCGAAGCTGCTTGGTGTCTTTGGGCATCGGCATCTTGGTGAGCGCAATAACTTTGTCACCATTTGGCCGAACACCGTCCGGAGAAATAGTGTGCCCAAGAAACTCGGCTTCTGTGGCGCCAATTGTAGCTTTCGGAGGGGTCAGTTTCAAACTGTGTGTACGCAACCTTTCAAAAAGAGAGCGAATGGTCGCTACATGAGCGGCTGGGGTCGCATCAAAAACGATGAGATCGGCCAAATACGACGCAACACCTCGAAGATTTTTGATGACTTCGTTGACGACCTTGAAAAACCATCCAGGGGCAGCAGCACTGCCCTGCGGCATTTTTAACCACTCAAATAGCCCAGAAGACGTAACAAACGCCGTGAGAGGGATGGTATCACGATGAACCGTGATTTGATGGAACGAAGATTTTATGTCAAAGAGAGAATAGATATTTCCCTTCAACAGTTTGTCCAGAGTTTCATCAACTCGAAGGATCGGGAGCTGACTAAGAGCACATAGCTTATTCAACTTGCGATAATTCACGGTAATGCGAACACCACCAGATTTCTTGGGTATGACAACCAAAGGACTCGAGTATGGAGACGTCGAGTGTTGTATAAGATCCGCGGTAAGGTATTGGTCGAGAATAGCGTCCACCTGTTTCGCAACTGGAGGGCTAACTCGGTACGGGCGAGATGTAACTGGCTCACTGCCAGGGGAACGGTCAATTTGAACGGAAANGGTATGACAACCAAAGGACTCGAGTATGGAGACGTCGAGTGTTGTATAAGATCCGCGGTAAGGTATTGGTCGAGAATAGCGTCCACCTGTTTCGCAACTGGAGGGCTAACTCGGTACGGGCGAGATGTAACTGGCTCACTGCCAGGGGAACGGTCAATTTGAACGGAAACAATGAACAAGAACCGAAATCCGTGGGCGAACTGGAAAACACGTCATGGTATTCACACAGAACATTACCCAACTCCGTAATTACGACCGGCGTCCAACCAGGACCATGCAGGTGAAACGTAATTTCTCGCAAGTGATGTGGCAGTTTCTCCCACACACGAGAGAAGCTAACACGTTGTTCCGATGTTAAACGTGCCAAAAGGGCCGAAGGTGGCGAAGAAAAGGTGGTATCCGAAGAATCGGGACCAGTCGCCGCACTTGGCTGTTTGTCGGTCTGCCCGTGCAGATTATATACAGACGTATGATCCGCCTGTGACACTCCCGAACGGCACCCGTTATTACTACAGGCAGGACCAAGGACCCTATCATCGGGAGTCTGCGGAACGGCAGCGGTTGGAAGACCATCGTTGACGTTGTCGCACGGAAACGCACTAAGGGGGACTTTGAGAAGGGGCGCCGAAGCGGTACCCAAAACATCTCCTGGTACCAAACTCGAAACACCCGCCAATGGCATCCGTTGGCGGCCATGAGTGACGAAATGTTCTTCGGAAGAAAACATGGATGTTTGCGGAAACATGTCCACCATATGGTTGCCTACAAGAGCAGGAGACCGTCACTGCGAACCAAATCAACTGGGACAAGTTGATGTTCAGCTAGTAATTGAATGGAATGCCGGCCAGCATACCGAAGCTGGAAACCTCCCTCCTGGGCAGAGACATCATGAATGAAAGCTTCAGCGCCACCCTGCTTACGATGGGCCAAAGTCAATTCTCCAA